ATGTGTGTGAATGCTTTAGATGGGGAAGCATGTTAGGAAAACTGTGGCTCTCCATCTGACTTGAAGGTTGTAGTTAAGGAACAAGGATGGTTGGAAAGGAAGCTATACTGATGAAGCAATCTCTCTTTCTCTCCCAGTAATATCCTTGGAGATCTTGCATCAAGTGTGATGTAGTGGAAAACCTATCATCTATTTTTGTCACTTGCTAGCTATGTGATAATGAGCAAATTACTTCCCCCTCTTAGTCTTTATTTGTTAGCTTGGAATAATGGCTGCTTTGTGGGATCATTGTTAGAATTACAGTAGGATCTATGAAGGTATTTAAAAATTGGCTGATAAGCTCACATCTGCCCTTTTTACTTCCCAACGGAAAGAACTGGATTCTTCTATACACAACATATCACACTAGCCTTCCCACATGAATTGGTTTGGATTTTTAATAAACTTTTTATTTGGAACTGATTTTAGATTCAGAGAAAAGTTGTCTGGAGAGGGTGAAGAGTTTTTGTATGTCATTGCCTCCGTTTCCTTAATGTGAACATCGTACATCAGTGTATTTGTCAAAACTATGAGGTAACGAATGCTTCGCATTACTACTGACTAAAGTCTACACTTCATTTGAATTTCATGATTCTCCCACTACTTTTTCTTTTCCTATTCCAGAATCTGACCCAGTACATCACATTGCATGTCGTCATTGTGGCTCTTCAGTCCCCTCTCTTCTGTAATAGTTTCTCAATCTTTTCCTGCTTCCGTGACCTTGAGGATCTTGATAAGTACCAGGGAGGCCTTGTATAGAAAGTGAGTGTTTTTAATTCACCGTCTTCAACCAGCCCCCTTCTCATTGCATTATGGAGAGGAAAACAATCTAGAGGTAACATGCTGTGATGCAGGTGTTCTAAAGTCTTTTCATTCCCCTGTATGCCCTAATATGTCCTGGAAACTAGAAAACAGTATATCCAGGTTTGGTCACCATTTGGCTACTAGCACATTCTTCCTACCTGCCATCCCATCTGCCCGCTAAGAACTGTACACCAACATATGATTTCAACCTATTATGCACTCTACTTCCATGTATTGAGATTTAAGTCAGAAATATTTTATGTTCTAAAGTTAAGAAAATATTTTTGAAATGACTCAGACCTGTGTTTAACTAAAATGTACCTTCTGCTGAAACCTTCAGTTTCTGTAGAATTTTACTCTAGGATTCTTTGTTGGCTTTAAAACTAACAAAGGGGAAGGACATTTGATCAAGATGCATTGTACTTGTAAACTGACAGGTTGAATTGAAACTTCTTTGTACAACTGCTTAAAGATAATTTTTAAATGAATATGACAAGGCCTGGTTGTCTCTCAAATCTTAGATGAAAGGGGAAAGTATAAATGAAAGTAAACAGGTAAAACACAAGATTGATTCTATCTGCTCATGGAGAGACTACCTTCACTCTGCTCATTCTGAAGTCTATATTATCCAATCATTATTTTAAATGGTTTGCACAATTGGAGTTTCTTTTACTTACTGTGTTTTGCCTACAGGTTAGCCAGGTATCAAACCAACCTCAAGTATTTTATGAACCTAAAAGACAGTAGACCATGTATTAAAAAAATGAATAGCAAGTAAGAGGGAAGTAAGGAAATCTTTATATAAGGAAGGATTATTTAGAGTTCATATTTTAAGGGTATGTTGGCCTCAAATATGTAAAAATAAAAGGCTGGCCATCATTATGGCTAATACCATTATAAATCGAATCAGGCAAGACCTAAGTTCCTAACTAACCAAGTAGCTCTAAGACAATTTTATCCATTCCCACTATGTAAAACTAAATGATATTTGCAAAACACTAAGTAGGTCTTTAGCTTATGTGCTCTCAGATCCACTTCTTTTCCCTGCTCTGTTCTTCATTGCAAGAGAGCTAATTACACCTGCTGGAGGTCCCAGGATTTCTTACAATCTGGTTGCCAACTGGATTTATGCATTGCAAATATTGAAGACAGGTTGATCAGATCCTCTAGGAGTTGAGGGAAGATGGAACTAGTGATACTCTGTTTAGAAGCCAATGAGAGGTTAAAAAAAAAAACAGGCAATCAGAAGTGGGTAAAGGGGAAGAAAGACAAGGAAAATGCAGAATAAGGCAATGGACTTCATTATCACACTGAATAAGAATTCGAAATTACTTTCAAAGAAGACACAGCAGATCCCTCAGCCGGCAGGCTTGCTCATCAGAAGAATTACAAGGAGGAATGGCACCTTGAAATAGTAAAGAATAACTTCAGGATATATTAATTGTCATAAGATAGAACATGAAAGTTAGCAACCCTTTATTTTGCGGGGGAGGGGGGAAGGAGCAGGCGTTGTGGGGCTTGACTCGAGGCCTGGGCTCTGTCTCTGAGCCTCTTTGTGCTCAAGGCTAGCACTCTACCACTTGAGCCACAGCGCCACTTCCAGCTTTTGAGTGGTTAGAGATAAGAGTCTCATGGGGACTTTTCTGCCTGGGCTGGTGATCCTCAGATCTCAGCCTCCTGAATAGCTAGGATTACAGGTGTGAGCCATTAGCACCAGCTCTCTCCAACTTTTTAAATTTTTTTTATTATAAAGATACTGTACAGAGGGTTTACAATTACATGAGTAAGGTAATGAGTACATTTCCTTTCAAGCATTATTACCCCCTCCTTTGTTTTTCCACTACTATCCCTTCCCTCCCCATTTCTCTAACTCCTCCCTCCACCCCCCAGAAGCTGTAACCATATAAGATGATACTAAGCAAAATGAACCCCAAGATAAGGACACACGAGGATTTTTCTTTGTCTCCTCAATTTTTATTAGCCTACATCAGTTGTACAAAGGGGTTTCATTGTGATGTTTCCACATACGCATATAATGTACCTCAATGAAACCCATTCCCTCTGTCCCTCCTCTCCTCTCCCCTCCCTCCTTCTTGGACCATTTCAGAATTTTTTTGGTTGGTCTTAAGGCTTGAACTCAGGGCCTAGGTACTGTCCCTGAGCTTTTTTTGCTCAAGGCTACCACTCTACCACTTTGAGCCACAGCTCCACATCCAGTTTTCAGGTAGTTAAAGACAAGAATCTCAAGGATTTTCCTGCCCAGGCTGGCTTTTGAACCATGATCCTCAGATTTCAGCTGAGCAGCTAGGATTGCAAGTGTAAGCTGTCCGTCTTAGAAATTTTTAGATGAACAGTTTAGTGCCACTGAGAACGTTCACACTGTTGCGCAACCATTCCATTGTCCACTTCCAGAGCTTTTCTTCCTTTAACATTTTTATTGTTTTGAGTAGGTGTACAAAGGAGGTGTAATTTAATAAGGCAGTTTATGAATACATCTTGATCAGTGTCACCCCTTCAACATTCTTATCCCCCTTCAACCCACCCCTTCCCTTACTTTTCTTAATTTTGTGGTATATACAATGAATTCTCATCCAGAACTTTCCTTATCCTGAGCTGAGATGCTCTACCCATTAAACACTAAATACACACATTTCCACCACTCTACTTTTGGTTTCTATGCATCTATGCACTTTAAGTGCCCCTTGTAAGTAGAACCAAAGCATTTGTCCTGTTCTGACTGGTTATTTCACTTACGTACTTAGTACAGAGTCCTCTACATTCATCCATTTGACATTATATCAGAATGGGCTTCCTCTTTAATTCTGACATGTCGCTGACATTTTGTTTATCCGTTCATCTGTCGATGGACTGTTGTCTGCTTTCCCCTTTTGGCTATTTGGTTTAATGATGTGCATCAGATCAGGTTAGTTAAGCTATGCTTAAATAGTGGAGACACTAAAGCTGAACAGAGTAAAGCTATTTGCTGGGGGTGACATAGGCAGAGGAATCGGTTGATGTCCAAGGTCTGGGGAGGGTCCTCACTGTAGGGATAACCCACAGAAAAACAGAAACTTCCATGCAGCCAGCATTTGGTATTCATTTACTACCCAGAAGGGTGTCAAAGCCAAATTTCTTACTTCCTTCCAACCTAGACATTTACCTTTCTTTTTTTTTTCTGTCCTCTATAAGTTAAAAATCATTAGTTGAACTTTCATTAATATTTATGGATCTAGGAAATGCAAACTTTGCCAGTACCTGTGGACTCCAGGCTCTTCAACCTTTGGTTGTAGACTTACCCCCAAGGTCTCTGTAAGGGTTTTCAGCCTTGAACTGGAGATACACCAATGGTTGGTCTCTTGTTCTGAGGCTTCTGAGGACTTGGCTGGGAGTGTGCACCCAAAATGACATTCTAAGGATTTTTTAAATATGTTTTATTGTTACTGTGGAGATGATTACAGAGGGGTTACAGTTATGTGAGTCAGGTAAAGAGTACTTTTTTTCGTGGGGCCTGAACTCTGGGCCTGGGCGCTGTCCCTCAGCTCTTCAGCTCAAGGCTAGCGCTCTACCACTTGAGCCACAGCGCCACTTCCAGCTTTTTTCTTTTTGCTTATGTGGTGCTGAGGAATCGAACCCAGGGCCTCAGGCATGCAAGGCAAGTGCTCTACCACTGAGCCACCTTCCCAGCCCCAAGAGTACATTTCTTTTTGAACCATGTCACCCCCCCCCTTCCCTTGCTCTCTCCCAGTTTGTTCCTCCCTTCCCCACCCACCAATCATATAGTTCATTTTCCACATAATGTCAAGTGAGGACCACCGCTGTATTTGTTCACACCTTGTCCCACCTTTCCTGTGCCCCCCCCACCTTCCCAAAGACAGATGAACAAACAAGACAAAGGAGAAAGACAACAAAAACAGCAATCTCTTGTTTCCATTCCTTGGAGTTCATGTCGTAAAATGTTGTTTTCTATGATCTCAAAAGACAGAATATTCTAAGTTTCCTTCGGTCCTGTACCCAGGAAGCTCAGGCTAGGACAGCCCAGCCTCGGAGCCCTCCCTCTCCCTGCTCCGCCTTCTCTCCTCCTCCCATTTCCCCTCCTCCATCCCTCCCTTCTCCGCCTCTCCCTCCCGCCCCTGCCAAGGCTCCTCCTCTTTGGGACACTCCTCTGAGAGGAAATTGAAAGTGAAATAAGGAGCTGGCCACCGACTCGGAGTTCCCTGGGAAGGTGAGTGAAGCCTCCTGATCGTGGTACCCCGCCCTGCCTAGGGACCCTCATCCCCTGCCCCAGATCCGAGGGTCTGGTCCCCTCCAATCACATCCCTCCCACTTGTCCCTGCTTTGAAGCTGGGTCGCTCTAAGTGGCCCAGCGTCAGCCTGCCTACCTGGGAGGGGGCTGGGCGCTGAGTGTGACTTCAGTCTCTGCTGCTAGGGATCTGGCTGTCCGGTTGCTGCTTGCATCTGAGCTGGGACACTGCGTGGGGGCAGTGGAGGGGGAATCCAGACCCTAACCCAGTCCAGAGGACCGCTGGAAATCTGATGGAGGGGAGGGATGGCCTGCTTGGGGTGGTCAACTAGAAACTTACGTGAGTTCAGGGCTAGAGGAAACTGAGACAGGAATTAATTTTTTTTGGGGGGGGGGGAATCCGGTCGTGGGGCCTGAACTCTGGGCCTGGGCACTGTCCCTCAGCTCTTCAGCGTCTACCACTTGAGCCACAGCGCCACTTCCAGCTTTTTTCTTTTTGCTTATGTGGTGCTGAGGAGTCGAACTCAGGGCCTCAGGCATGCAAGGCAAGCACTCTACCACTGAGCCACCTTCCCAGCCCAGGAATTAAATTTTGAGCAGCACAGAAAAAAAAAAAAACTCAGATAATTGCTCACTGCACACGCATGTGTGAACACACATACACATATACACGTTTATATGTACACTTATAAGCACATGTGCCTATATACACCTATAGAGGTACATACCCATGCACATATATTTTATATATGATAATACACATATGTGTGTATTATGCATGTGCTCTGTAGCCATGCATCCCTCAACCTTAAGAACAAGGATCTAACCTGAGAAATTTAGCATTTGGGCAAATCTCATGGGTAGATTTAGGTTAAGCTAGACATCGCTGTTACACACCTAGGCTATAGGGTATAACCCATCATGACAGTATTATATACTGTATGCAGTCCATCATTGACCAGAATACCCTGGGGCACATGACTGCACATGGCATAGCACCTCCGTGAAACAAGGACAATGCACAGCAAACGGTCACTGTTACGATTAGCTTCTCTGTAACACAGATGTATGATAGGAGACAAGGGACGGGGTCAGCATGGACAGTGAGGATGTACGCAGGGATGGATATGACGCATGATTTCTGGCATTCCCACCACTTTTCTCTGCTTCTTCTGGAAACTTGGTTTTCTCTTTTTGTTGGTCTGGATCAATGGGCCAGACTATGGAGGAAAGTCTCTGGTTGATATTCTTGCTTTCCCTTGTCTTTGCCTCTCCAATTTTATTCTCCCACATGTTTTTCTTCACATTGTTTCGGGGAAGTTGGTGTTTGGAGACAGGGTCTGGCTGTGTCACCCAGGCTGGCCTGGAACTTGCTGTGTAGTTCAGATTGGTCTCAAAGCCTTGATCCTCCCTGTCTCCAAGTCCTAGTGCTCAGATTACAGGCCTGTGCCACCACACCTGGCTTGTTTTGTCTCACTCCCCTCCGTCCCCCCCATGCAAATCTTTTCTCTGTCTTCTCTCCCCACCCCTCAAGGTCTGGACAGTGCCCCTTCTCAGGACATCACCACAATGGACACAGAAATGCCCCTGGCAAAGATGTGGGAGGAGGTCACCTGTTCTATCTGCCTGGATCCCATGGTAGAGCCCGTGAGTATCGACTGTGGCCACAGCTTTTGCCAGGAATGCATCTCTCAGGTCGGGAAAGATGGAGGCAGTGTGTGTCCGGTGTGCCGGAAACACTTTCTGTGCAAGAACTTCCGGCCCAACCGACACCTAGCCAACATGGTGGACAACCTTAAACAAATAGGCCAGGATGATACCAAGAAGGGCACACAAGAGAGACAATGTGTGACTCATGGAGAAAAACTTCACCTGTTTTGTGAGGAAGATGAACAGGCCCTTTGCTGGGTGTGCGTCCAATCCCGGAAACACCGAGATCACACCATGGTCCCTATGGAGGAGGCTGCTCAGGTATACCAGGTGAGTCCCTAATGCCAACACAAACAGGTATAAAGGTAAATCCTGACACATGCCTTGTTCCCCCAAAGAGGGGATAGGAGTGAGCTGCCTCTGGAGTTGAGAAACTGGGAAATAAGAGAAGATTTCAGGCTAACCATTAACCTTCTCATTCCTCTGAGTAGGAGCTTTGCTATCAGGAAATGCTAGAAAGATCATGTTTACTCTCAGCCTCCTGGCGAGTTGAGAATGAGTAATGCCTCCCTCCCCCATTCTACCACCCTAATGGGGTAGCTCTGGTTTGTAAAGCACACTTTTTCCAAAGCCTTTCGGCATTCCTATTCCAGTCAGACTCTAGTTCTCTTTCTTTCCTCCCCTCAATTAGGTTTTTTCCAAGAATTACAGTGATCAAGCCATACTCCTATACACATACACACACACACACACACACACACACAATTTCTTAATCTGTAAGAGAATTAACCATCTCTTTTATTCCACAGGAGAAACTCCAAACAGCCTTAGTAAAACTGAGACAAGAGCAGATGTTGACTGAGAAGATGGAAGCGGATCTTGCAATGAAGAGAGAAGACTGGAAGGCAAGAGCCCAAAGTGTGGGCAGGGTCCAAGGACTTAAGCTCAAGAAACCCTTAACCAAAGTTTTTTCTTATCTAAGTAGTGATGGAGTTGGTATATATCTAGCTCTCCAAGAACATCTCTCCTAGGTCTCCAGATACAGGGAAGTAAACTTTCTCTCAAAGAAAGCTCCCACTGAGGTACAAAGATCAGAAATAACTGCAAAAGGTGCTGATGCTGAAAGGCTCAAGCTATTTTTTTTAAAGTCCCCACCACTCTGAGCCCAATCTCAGATGAGTATAGTGAAAAGCCCAACCATTAGGCCTTTTAGAAAATGGTAGAGAAGAACTGTGAAAAGACAGACTGTAATGATCCGTCGAGTATTGAGGTAGGAAAACCAGTCTGGCCGCGTGGTTGCTTAGCCATGACCAGATCACTGGTTTAAATTATAATGGAAAATAAAAGCCTGTTCCGCACTTGTGATTTGCTAGTAGGATTAGAATAGAAGGAATTTACAACCAGTAAACATCAGAAGAGAAAGATTTGGGATTGAGGAAGATTGGAGCCCGGCCATGGTCACAAAGGAGATCATTCTGTGTCATTAGGTGACCTCCAGTTGCCAACAAGAACAGACAAGCAAAGAATATCCACACCCACCCTTAACCCAGGACTTACAAATAGTATCAGGAGTAGGGATGGGTTTTACTCTCTAACTCACTGAGGTTGAAAGAAAACAGACTCATTTGGGTAGTGACTAGGTTTTGGAAAAGAGGTTTAGAAAAGAATCTGCTGGTGTCAGCAGTTAGTATAGCTGTGGTTGTAAGACAAATCAATGAGCCCCATCAATGCCATTTTCCCTTACCCCAGGAGCCTCACCCACTCACCTGCCTATCTCCCCTGCAAAGTTGAGTGTCCCATGTTTTCCCAAACATAACCAGAAGGATGAGTCTCCAAGAGAAACACTTCCCTCTCCAAAGATCATGAACATTCATTAAAAAAGCTATCTCTTTCCTTTTCTTGACACCAAAGAGGAAGGTTGAGACACACAAACTGAGGATTCACGCCGAGTTTGCACAACAGAAAAGCTTCCTGGTTGAAGAGGAACAGAGGCAACTGCAGAAGCTGGAGAAGGAAAGGAGAGAAGAGCTGAGACTCCTTGGGGAGACAGAGGTGGAGCTAGCGCAGCAGAACCAGGAACTACAAAAGCTAATCTCAGAGCTGGAGTGGAGGAGTCGGAGTTCAGCATTGGAGATGTTGCAGGTAACACTAGGAGAGAGATTCAAAGAGTAACTGAGAAAAGCTAGTGCTCTCTGAAGCAACTGTCACAACAAATAGAATCCTAATCCTTGGGGTAGTCTTAAATTGGAATTCAGCTCATGAATGGTATGCACTCAAGGCATAGAAGGCTATAGATTTAGGAAGAAATATTCTGCACAGCAAAAAACAGGAACCAACATCTTTGGAAAGTGTCTAACATATAGCAGGTGTGGGAAACTTGAGAAAGTTCCTTAGTCTTTCCGGGAAGGCATTAAGTTTCTTACACCTTAAAGAGATTATGTGTGTGTGTGTGTGTGTGTGTGTGTGTGTGAGAGAGAGAGAGAGAGAGAGAGAGAGAGAGAGAGAGAGACAGACAGACAGACACACACACAGACACACAGACACACAGACAGACAGAGACAGAAACAGAGACAGAGGGGGGGAGGTATACTAGAGCTTGAATTTAAGGCCTGAGTATTGCCCCTTATCTTTTGCATTCAAGGCCAGCATTCTGCCACTTAAACCATAGTTCTACTTCCAGTTTATTGATGGTTAATTGGAGATGAGAATCTCCTGCCCAGGCTGGCTTCAAACTGCAATCTTTAGATCTCTGCTTCCAGAATAGCAAAAATGGCAGGTGTGGACCACCAGTAGTGTCCAGCTTAAATGGATTTTTTCTAACATTTCATACCTAAAAGTGCTGTGAGAGAATTAAATGAGAAAATCCACTAAAGATTTCAAATGAATATCTGCCTGTAATAAAAATTCATTTCATTGTTCTAGTCTTTTCAGTTCAGTCTAATGAGACTGAACTGAAAATTGAGAGTCAGTACCTTCATTCACTAGTTCTCTGCATCATATGCATTATGGAAATAACTTGGATCATTTTTTTCTTTGCCTAAATCCAGTTTCTTGATTTCTGAAAGTATGAAATGACCAGACAATCAAGAATTCTCCCTGTTAGTCATACATGCATCTTTATACTTACTGTTTCTCTGAACTACTAAATGATCCTAACATAATCTTTATATTATCTTACTGTTTTTTCCTGAAAATTTAGCCTAAAACAATTTTTCCCAAAGATGTACTAGCTAAGATATCATCTACTAATGTTACTGGATCTTGGGTGGTAGGGGGAGTGTGGGAGAAGAGTCATTCTAACTTATTTCTACCAGCAATCATAACTGCTCATTCTTAGCTAGCACTCTCCAGAATTCAGGTAGGAGTAAGAATCCCATTTCATAGATGACAAAATGAAGAAGAGATACGAAGAGACTTAGTGAAACATTAAAGCTAAATGACTTGATTGGGTGCACTGGAGTGGTAATTAGCAGAGTTCAGATTAAAATACGGACATAACTTTTTAAGAAAGCATCGATGCCCATTCTGCTGGAAATCATCTGGCCTCCACCAGTGATATGTCGGCCTCACTTTGGGAATCTCTGGACTTCATGGGTTCAGAAGTCCATGCTCCTCTAACATTCTAGAGTTCTTTTTCCATACTTTCTGTCCCTTGGTTAGTGTCATGAAGACTTTTTTCTTTCTGGCTGTACAAAGAAACTGATTGTATTCATTTCACTCACCAGGCTCTCTTCTGCCCCATATTGAATTTTTAGATGCCTTTTTGACTGGGCTTAGGTGCTTTTCAGATGTAAGACTCCCCAATCCCTGCCAAATAATATTCTCAGTTGGTTTAACTTCATATACAGGAGAGAGCTATAACCAACCAATAAGGTACAAGATAAGAGATTAACCAACCAATCCTTTCTCCCCAAACAACTCAAGCCCACAATTGAGAGGGACCCGTTTCTGGGCATCTGACTTTGGCTGTTTCTCCCAGCAGCCATCTCTGGGTTTCTGCAACCGAGAATCTGGTCTTCCTTGTTTGTTTTCTGAATCAGAATCCTTAATCCGAAGGTCTTTTTCTAGTTATAAATCATACTCATGCTGGGTTCCTGGTTACTCTATAATATCCATGCATCCTTTCTGATACAAGCTGCTCTGACTTGTCTAGAGAAGTCAGATCGAAGCCCTGAGGACCACCTGGTGGGAGCATGTCACTTTCATGTGTGAAATCTCAATAGTGGACCAGCATCTCCAGCACTTAACTCTCTGTCTCTTTTTTCCTCAGGAGGTGAGAACTGTCCTGGAAAGGTAAGGATATGCTTTCTTCCTTAGCAGAGAGGGTAGAGAAAGGCATCTCTTCCTATGAAAAGGGTTATTGAGTTGGGAATATGTGCACTGAAATTTCCCCTGTTCCTTTCTATTTATTCTCGAAGAACTGATCTTCTATTTATTTTTTTAAAAAAATCTGAGCCGGGCGCCAGTGGCTCACACCTGTAATCCTAGCAACTCAGGAGGCTGAGATCTGAGGATCATTGTTCAAAGCCAGTCCAGACAGGAAAGTCTGGGAAACTCTTATCTCCAATAAACCCCCAGAAAACCAGAAGTGGCACGGTAGCTCAAGTGGTAGAGTGCTAGCCTTGAGCTGAAGAGCTGAGGGACAGCGCCCAGGCCCAGAGTTCAAGCCCCATGACTGACAAAAAAAAAAATCTGGTCCCAGAAGACTAATAAATAGTCATCTCAATTGAAAAATTCCCCTGACTTATAATTTCTTCACATAGTTTGGTCCAACAAATAAGGGCATCTGAAAACTTCTGAGTCTATAATTTCCTGGACTCTTTTTTTTTCTGTTTGTTTTTTAGAAGCACTGGGACTTGAACTCAGAGCCTTGCATTTTCTAAGCAGGCACTGTATTACTTGAGCCATGCACCTAGTCCTTTATTGCTTTAGTTAGTTTTCAGATAGAGTCTCATATTTTCAGTAGGACTCCCTTAGACTTAGTCCTCCTATCTATACCTCCTGCTGAGATGAGTGCATGCAGCACCATACTAAGTTTATTGATTGATATATAATCACACTAACTTTTTCCTCAAGCCACAATCCTCCCAACCAGTACCTCATGAGTACCTTGGATTATGGGCATAAACTACCACACCTGGCTAAGAGACTCGTTTTTGTTTGTTTGTTTTTGTGTAGGTCCTAGGGCTTGAACTCAGGGCCTTGACACGGTCCCTGAGCTTTTTTTCTCAAGGCCAGCACTCTACCACTTGAGCCACAGCTCCACTTCTGGCTTTGAGTGGTTCATTAGAGATAAGAGTCTCACAGACTTTCCTGTCCAGGCTGGAATTGAAACTGATCCTCACATCTCAGCCTTCTCAGTATCTAGGATTACAGATATGAGCTACTAGAACCTGGCAAGATACTCTTTATAGCTGGAAAACTCCCCGAATGAGCCATGAGTAAGATCTGCAGCATGAACAAGAGTCCTTGAGGGTATTACAGAAGCAACTCAGCCTGTTACCAGATGCCTGCCTAGCTGAGAAAATGAAATAGAATGCATTTGCACATTAACCTGAGCTTTAGAGAGACCAGATGGACTGTCTATGTACTATAGACATTCCTGGACCAGGAACTCTTCAATTTAAACTAAATCCTACTTTATTTTTGCCTTTTATCTGGACACTTGAGTATAACAGGTGTTTGTAAATTTGTATTGAATTAAATTCTCAAAATCTTCCACAAAGATGGTCCTTGGGCCCTGGGGGAAGGGTTCAGAAGGGTCTCAAACTCTCTTTCCCCCCAGGATTGAGTCCTGGAACCTGAAGAAGCTGGACATTGTCTCCCCAGACATAAGAAGTGTGTGCCATGTGCCAGGGCTAAAGAAGATGCTGAGGGCATATGGAGGTGAGGCAACTTCTAAGAATTGTGGGGCTGAAACAGAAGGAGAGAATGGGAGCGCTGAGTGGATCTAGGCTCAGAGAGAATAGACAGAAGGTAACATGGAGGAAAGGTAAAGGGTTGGGGTAGGTGGGGCAGAAACAGATTAAGGAAATTTCCATCAAAGATTAAAGAAAGAGCCTGAGTTGTTTGTGTATCATTTTCTCACAAGATAAACTTCAAGGTTACCCCTCTTATCTTTGGCGTTGACACAAATCCACAGGCCCTTGGTTACGGACCCACCCCATCCCTTCCCCCCCTCTCCCCCACACACACCCCTATCACCATCTTTCTCGTCGTTCTGCAGTATACATCACTCTGGATCAAGACACAGCCAATCCATGGCTCGAGCTTTCTAAGGATCGGAGACAAGTGAAGCTTGGAAACATCCAACAAAAGGTGCCCGAGAGTGAAGAGAGATTTGATAATTACCCCATGGTCCTGGGTACCCAGATCATTACCTCTGGAAAACTCTACTGGGAGGTAGATGTGACAGGAAAAGAGTCCTGGGACCTGGGGGTTTGTAGGAACTCTGTGCAGAGGAAGGGACATTTTTTGCTCAGCCCTGAGAATGGCTTCTGGACAATTTGGTTGTGGAAAAAGGACAAGTATGAGGCTGGCACCTGCCCTCAGTCCTCTCTACACCTTCAGGTGCTGCCATGCCAAGTCGGCATTTTCCTGGACTATGAGGCTGGTATTGTCTCCTTCTACAATATCACTGACCACGGCTCCCTCATCTACACCTTCCCTGAATGTAATTTTGATGGGCCTCTGCGGCCCTTCTTCAGCCCTGGTTTCAATGATGGAGGAGGAAACGCAGCCCCTCTAACCCTTTGTCCACTCAAAATGGGAAGACCAGAATCTGCTGATGACTGAAGGCTTTCTCAGGACACTTCACCCCCTTCCTGTTGGTATCCCCACTCAGCCACGAACTCTGCCTCCTTTTCTCATTAACTGTCAAACCCCTTTTCTTACAGAGGTATCAGGATCAAGCACTGAAAGTTAATGTCAAAAACCTTCAACACGATATTCCTGTCCTAGAGTCCGTTATAATTCCATTTACTGAAGCATACGCCTCAGATTTGGCCCAAACTCATGTGAATCAATTTTTAGCTGGACACCAGTGGCTCACACCTGTAATCCTTACCACTCAGGAGGTTGAGACCTAAGACAGGGTTCAAAGCCAACCCCAGGCAGACAAATCCATGAGATTGCTATCTCCACTTAACAAGCAAAGAGCCAGAAGTAGAGGCATGACTCAAATGGTAGAGTACCAGACATGAATGAAAAAGACCAAACAAGAACAGGAGGCTCTCAGTTCAATCCTCAATACTGGCACATAGGCACACACACACACACACACACGTGCACACACACACGCGCGCGCGCACACACACACACACACAATGTTTCTACCTCCATTTCATGCGTTGTTTTGTTTCTTCTCTCTGCCTTCAGGCTATTGCCTTTGGTCAGATCTCCATTTATTATATCTTTCAAAGTTATCAAAAGAGCCTCCCCCACCCCCAAAAAAGCCTAAGAAGTCTACCCCATTCAGTCATTCAATCCTGGTCCTTAGGGGACTGAAAATACATCACTCATGTTGATGTGCCTTTAATGTTGTATGTGCTCTTCCCATACCTGGAGTGGTCTTCTGGGTGTTTACATCTTACGGCCTAGGTCAAGAACATCAAGATGCCTCTAAGCAGTTACTATGGTGATAGAGGCCATTCACAACTCAACGGGATGTTACCTCCTCACAATGAGGGAGTTCCTGATTTTGAAAGATTTAATTATGTTTTGATATATCTGTGATATTTAGAGACCTGAAACGGTTTCTGTCCATTTTCCCATGCATTTACCAGTGACAACATAGTTTCTCGAGCGCTCTGCCCAGGGAGGGTCAAGTTGGGATGCTTCTAGTTTCAGTGTTTTTCTCAGAAAATGGCCAACTCCTCCACCCTTTCCATACCCTTGCAATCCTTTTTCTGTCATGTCTCCTCCCTCCCCAGGCTCCACAAATGACAGAACACCTGCTGCACCCATCCTTGTGGATATCCTGTATGATATCCAGTGCCATCCAGCTGATGATCCAAATACAAATATGTCACACACATACATGGATATGTCCTAACAACCCCACACACATACTATATGTAGCTCATATATCCTAATTTTAAAAAGATCTTCATACTACATAATCTAATCCCAAAGTTGCTTCCAGTATTACAGAATGGCTACCAGAAATCAAACTGTGCTTTCCCTAAATCTTGGGGAGGGCGGGGGGAGACCCAGACTTCACAGGTCCTAAAAGGCCCACGATATCATTTGGGTCAGTTGCCAAGGCAACTGCAGGTGAGACTTGAAATTCGGTAAATCTAGGCACTTCTTTCACAGTAACATAAATTAATGCTGAGTGAACCATACTAATAATGCACATTTTGAGGGACAAGACAGGACACAAGTGAGTACATAACAGGACAGATACACACATGTCTCACCAGTTGCTCAAGGCCTGTCTTCCTTATTGTGGTGAACCAAAGGACAGTCAAGATCAGGCAGGCTGGGAGTGTACAGGTTGAGAAAGTGTTAACATTGTGGAGAATCTAAAACAGTCTGGTCATGAGACATGACTAGATGATTCCTTGTGACATTGATGGCTTTGCCCCTGATGAGTGACAACATTGACTTCCTTGTCAATGTAGACAATAACTACAATCCACACATCCGTGATGAACAATCCTCACAAAAAAACTAGCTCATGGATGAAGATTAAGTAAATGATAATACACAGAGAAGACCTCCAGTCAATGACATGACATGGGATATGTTCCAGATTCAAGATACAGAAATAGAACAGTGATCAAAGCAAAATGGTCACATCTCTGATGACTCACAGTGGGTAGTTACCAAAACTTAAGTGGTGTGACATCCTACTAGAGGCAACCATAAAGAAAAGTTGAGGGGCTGGGAAGGTGGCTCAGTGGTAGAGCGCTTGCCTTGCATGCCTGAGGCCCTGGGTTCAATTCCTCAGCACCACATAAGCAAAAAGAAAA